CCTTCGATAGTGCGGTCGTGTACGCCTTGCAAAGGCTGATCCATCTGTAAGACTTGGGTCCAGCTCGATGACCGATAACGGCCTCAGAACGTCCTAAACAGCGCTGGCTCCAGTCGCTGCAGACTCGAATATAGTTGGTTTCCACGCCGGCAAGGTATTCAGTCGTAAAATGGCCTCATCGTACCGGAACAGCGCACCCTGCCATCAAGCGGAGTGAAAGCTCAATATAGATCAATTCATAACCCAACCCAAAACGGGACCAATGCTGTGATAATTCTAGTATTCCCTCACCTACAAAGGCGTCTTCATCCGTTGGAGCGGCTACGGCCGCTGCCAGCTCAGCCAAAGTGCGACTGCCTGAACTGTTCGTGCCTGGTCCTCCGAATGACCTTCTAAATGGCATCGGTTCCAAATTAGAATTCGACATTTCTTCCTACGCCTCTAATCTTCTGAAACTCATACAGCGTCCAGGAAATCTCTGGAACTTGAGTAAACGCACTATAAAATCAAAGCAAAAGGAGGCGACTGGTTGTTTCCTGCACAGTCAATAATACAATTATGCGGTTAATACCTTTTTATTCAGAAAGTTAAGACATTTCAAAAGACAATTATGGGGAAACTGCAACAAATCCCATACTAAAGGTAATTCCGCCTTCCTAAAAAAAGCTAAGTGACTCTCAAAGGAAATTACAGATTATCGACCCGATAGAATGAATACAACTATATCTGCGTAGCTGGGCCCAATTAGCCCCTGTAAATAGTAGATCAAACAATTTTGAACATGATAATTTGTGAATCAGAATGACAAACCAAACTGTAGCATTTCAGCTCAGTATTTTGTTTGGAATAAGTACTTCAAATGAATGATGTTAAGAGGCGAGATCAAATTCAGGGATGAGGTACTGCACCATGAAAAGGACTATAATGAAGAGGTGTAGATGGTTGAGGTGCCTGTGCCATTCCAACCGCAGGTATTGGTTTCGATGATGGAACCTATAACGTGAAAGTTCAGTAGAGAATTTCAAACCCATTCGCGAACTTATAAACCTTTATCTGAACCAGTTTCTTGCACACGGCTTCAAAACTCTTTTCTTGATAAGAAAATCTACATACGCAGTAAGAAGCTAGCGGAAATGATAACTAACTGAACATTAAAGGCATGGTCTACGAAGGCAACTTCATGAACTCTCATTTCATGAACCAGCATGAGTAAAAAGAATACTTCCAAATGAAACAGCAGAAGAACTGTCAAGAACACCCTCCGCATGAGATCCCCTCGTACCTCTGACATCGTACAAGTTCGACAACACTCGGACGAGTCTGGTTCTATACTTGCAAATACATATGGGCCCCAGGTTCGCGCTCCAAATGCGTTTGGATTGTTTATATTCTTTTTAATGAGCTAGGCTCAGCTGTTGATTTTCATAACGTTTGACTAATGCTACACTGCTGCTCACCGGCTCATGATCGGCCTCCATAGTTTCAACTGGTTTGGGCATTAGCCTCTCGTGTAGCTTATTATACTCTTCCACGAAATGGTCCAGGTCTTCATGACCAGCATTTGCAAAGTACTGGAAAGAATCGATAGAGAATATGCAAATGAATAAAAAACAAAATGAGCACGACAGAAGCGGTTAAAACCAGAGACGCAATCACCTCGATATCATATTCTTTCATCATTGTCATACAATGAGGCTGACCCCAAATGTAGCCTATCTGACTGATTAGTTTGAGGAGCTGATATTTCGCACAACGATCGGCCTGTAACGGAGTTTTAAATATCACAAACAGAAATATAGAGGTAGTGCGGGAAAGAAAGGGGCTGGGTTCGGTGCGACCAAGACGTTTTTCAGCAATCGCTGTCGCTTGTTGGCATTACAATTGGTGAAGAACGGGCTAGCGCGGAGCCAGACCCAGCATCCTGACAGTCTGCTCGCTGCGGACCCAAACGTCCGAAGCGAACAAGACTTGAGATCACCTGTTAGGATGCGCAGAATCTGG